ATGATGAATTCCCTGAAGTCACCATCAACGTGGCTGATAAAAGAAAGTCTAAGTGGCATTCGAATGAATTGAGACCCGACTTTTTCTTAGGAGGAAAAGTCAATTCAAGAATTGCCCGACGGAAGTCTCGACTCCGGCCAGGAGCTATCAGGAGAATGCATGAAGAGATGTCATCAGAGCATGAGCTCTCGGACACTTGTTCTGTGATCGCTTCGGATGATACATCATCTAGCATAGGACAAACCAGAGAAATACTCACGATCACATCTGATCAATTTGCTCAAATACTTCAAGAAGCTCTAGCTAAACAACGTGAAGAAATTAGAGCTGAAGTAAAGACAGAGATGGAGTTAGCTATCCAACAAATGAGAGAATTGCTAGCTCAGCGACCTCAACTCCCTGAGTCCAGTCAAAGAACTGAATCCAGCCGCCGCAATCAAAATATTGCAGACGACAGTGATCCAGAAGTGGATGAAGTCATCTTGGCTGATACACCTCCCAATAGCAATAACGCTGGGGGTGGTTTAAAGGATCCTCCCAATAACGATATTGGAGGTGGTTCAATAGCACCTCTTACAGGGGGTGGTCTAACTCATTCTCCTCAACATCCTTCGAATGAAGATATAGACGAAAACGAGAAAATGAAAGAGCTTGAAAACAAGGTCAACGCTCTGATGACAGCTCAAGAAGTGAAGAAGACGGGTATTCCATGTCCCTATCCAAGAGAATGGGATTCAATACCGTATCCAACAAAGTTCAACCTGATTAACTTCACACCATTTGAGGGGAAGAGCTCGCCTATTCAGCACTTGATTTATTTCAAGTCTCATTTGGGCATGATCTCTGGGAACGAGGCGTTAATGGTCCGGTCATTCGTTGGCACCCTTCGTGGGCCCGCCTTCGATTGGTACCGACGGCTCAAGTCAAGGAGCATCAGTTGCTGGGATGACATGGAAAGTTTGTTCCTCAGTAATTTCTTCGATGATGACACCGAAGTGTCAATCGAAACCCTTTTGGATGAGAAGCAAAAAGACGGAGAGTCGGTCGATAATTTTGTCAAACGCTTCCGTGACAAGGCAATTAGTTGCAAGGATCCTGTTACAGAGGAGTTCATCTTGCAAACATGCCATAATAATCTTTCCATCGATGTCCTGGAAGCCCTGGGGGTCGTGCCGTCCACAACTTGGAAGGAGTTAAAATTCCGTGGTGAACAGGCCGAACACTTTCTTAAAAGAAAGAAAGCTGAGAGAAGCCGACCGACGACATCTACAATCACTGAGAACGTGACTCTCGATCCGAGGTTCCAAAAGGAATATTCTTTCGAAGATGATGAAGCTCCATCCATATTGGAATACCTCCTCGCCAATGATAAAATTGAGCTACCACCTATCAAAGATCAGGATGGAGCTAAGATGATTACGGATCCGAATTACTGTGCATACCACAGAAGGATTCTTCATCCCACCGAAATTTGCTTTGGACTCAAAAACAAAATCCAAGCCTTAATTGACTCCGGCGTCATAACGGCGAAAGAAGTCGAGTAAAGACGACCATAATACTCCATCGGATACACGAGTTTAAACTGTTTTCCCTAACTCCATTGGGTACACGAGTATAAACTGTTTCCCCTCACTCCGAAAAGTATACGTATCCAACTGAGTACAATGTTAAACCCGGTTTCGCAAAGGAAGCTGGGGGTGGATGATTTATGTAACGGGAAGTTCCTGGAGAATCTTATATTCTTAAGGATAACCCGAACATGCGACTGAGAATAACGTACTCCTCGTTACACCCAGTTTTGCAAAGAAAGCTGGGGGTGAATTTATATAACGGAAGTTTCTGGAAAATCTTATATTCTTAAGGATAACCCGAACATGCGACTGAGGATAACGCACTCCTCGTTACACCCAGTTTTGCAAAGAAAGCTGGGGGTGGATAATTCATGTAACGGGAAGTTCCCGAAAGAATGTTAAATGTAATATTCTTAGGGATAACCCCGATCATTATGAACAAAGTGATAAACAATAAACTCCTACTATGACTTCCGAATACTCTTTTGCTGAGATGAGATTCGATCACCTCTTTAGATCAATCTTCCCTCACAAAATTCCCATTTTGGTCAAACCTTTAAACAGTTAGGACCAAAGCCAAAATCCCCTCTCGATTCGTTCCATGAACGAGAGGTCCACAAATTGAACGATCAAACCTTTAAACAGTTAGGATCGTCTCAAAACTCCCACTTGGTCAAACCTTTAAACAGTTAGGACCAAAGCCAAAATCCCCTCTCGATTCGTTCCATGAACGAGAGGTCCACAAATTGAACGATCAAACCTTTAAACAGTTAGGATCGTCTCAAATTCCCATCTTGGTCAAACCTTTAAACAGTTAGGACCAAAGCCAAAATCCCCTCTCGATTCGTTCCATGAACGAGAGGTCCACAAATTGAACGATCAAACCTTTAAACAGTTAGGATCGTCTCAAATTCCCATCTTGGTCAAACCTTTAAACAGTTAGGACCAAAGCCAAAATCCCCTCTCGATTCGTTCCATGAACGAGAGGTCCACAAATTGAACGATCAAACCTTTAAACAGTTAGGATCGTCTCAAATTCCCATCTTGGTCAAACCTTTAAACAGTTAGGACCAAAGCCAAAATCCCCTCTCGATTCGTTCCATGAACGAGAGGTCCACAAATTGAACGATCAAACCTTTAAACAGTTAGGATCGTCTCAAATTCCCATCTTGGTCAAACCTTTAAACAGTTAGGACCAAAGCCAAAATCCCCTCTCGATTCGTTCCATGAACGAGAGGTCCACAAATTGAACGATCAAACCTTTAAACAGTTAGGATCGTCTCAAATTCCCATCTTGGTCAAACCTTTAAACAGTTAGGACCAAAGCCAAAATCCCCTCTCGATTCGTTCCATGAACGAGAGGTCCACAAATTGAACGATCAAACCTTTAAACAGTTAGGATCGTCTCAAATTCCCATCTTGGTCAAACCTTTAAACAGTTAGGACCAAAGCCAAAATCCCCTCTCGATTCGTTCCATGAACGAGAGGTCCACAAATTGAACGATCAAACCTTTAAACAGTTAGGATCGTCTCAAATTCCCATCTTGGTCAAACCTTTAAACAGTTAGGACCAAAGCCAAAATCCCCTCTCGATTCGTTCCATGAACGAGAGGTCCACAAATTGAACGATCAAACCTTTAAACAGTTAGGATCGTCTCAAATTCCCATCTTGGTCAAACCTTTAAACAGTTAGGACCAAAGCCAAAATCCCCTCTCGATTCGTTCCATGAACGAGAGGTCCACAAATTGAACGATCAAACCTTTAAACAGTTAGGATCGTCTCAAATTCCCATCTTGGTCAAACCTTTAAACAGTTAGGACCAAAGCCAAAATCCCCTCTCGATTCGTTCCATGAACGAGAGGTCCACAAATTGAACGATCAAACCTTTAAACAGTTAGGATCGTCTCAAATTCCCATCTTGGTCAAACCTTTAAACAGTTAGGACCAAAGCCAAAATCCCCTCTTGATTCCTTCCATGAACAAGAGGTCCACCTTCGATTTGCGCAATCAAACCTATAAAAGTTAGGATTGCTTCCAATCTCAATTGATCAAACCTTATTCAGATTCTCTGAATAGAAATCCCAATTTAAATTTCCTTTGTACCAGGAGATAGAATATAAAATTCTTCCTCTCCATCATCGGGTTTATCTCTACCAACAAACAAGAGACCAGGAGATAGAATATAAAATTCTTCCTCTCCATCATCGGGTTTATCTCTACCAACAAACAAGAGACCAGGAGATAGAATATAAAATTCTTCCTCTCCATCATCGGGTTCATCTCTACCAACAAAAA